GGAGAAGAGTATTGAGAGTACCATGGACTGCCAAGAAAACAAACAGGTTCACCCTGGAAAGGGTTAAACCGGGCTACTCCTTGGAGTCAAGGATTCTGAGGCTCCGTCTGACAGACTTTGGTCATGTTGTGAGGAGAGACCGGTCCTTGGAGAAGGACATCATGCTTGGGAGGGTGGAGGGACGGCACAGGAGGGGAAGGCTCTCTATGAGGTGGATTGATTCAGTGACTGGGATAATCGGGATGGGAGTGTCAGAGACAGTGCAATTGGGCACAGGACAGAGCAGAGTTCAGGGCTGTTGTACATAGGGTCGTTGGTTGGTGCGTGACCTCGCGGTGGGACTCACGTAATTGGACGCCCACCAAGACTTGAGCTGCAGATACCACTGCAACAGTGACGCCTGCAGCCTCAGGAACTCCTGCGCCAGGACCGTTGTCCAGTTGAAGTCCTCGTCTGAGAGGAGTGGCCGCACGGACTCCAGGTACTTGGGGAGAGGTGAGGAGAGGGCAGCGGTCAGCCCCGGGTGCCTGGCTACCCCCCGCCCCACCGCAGCCCCCTGCCCGGGTGCCAGGCCCACCTTGCTCACGGTGTCCTGCACCGAAGGCACCGGCTGGTGAGGCAGGCAGCGCTGGTAACTGAAGAGCATCGGATGGCGGCCGGAGAAGATACGAACCAGGGCCTGGAGCCAAAAGCCTGAGCCTCAGATCTGGGGCTACCGATCCCCTCTCGGGGCACTGAGACGGGGGAGGAGGGACAGGCCACAGAGAATGGACAGGGACCAAGGAAAAGATAGCTGAGACCAGTATAGGGGTGGGGAGGCAGAGAGCTACATAGAGGGATGGAGAGTGGGGAAGTGTGAGACATGGGAGCTCTAGGGGCACAGTGGTTTGATTGGGCCCTTGGATGCTAATGCAAAGGTTGGAGGTTCAAATCTACGAGCAGGAACTCCATGGGAGAACAATGTGACAACCAATTTCCGTAAAGATCACAGCATTGGGGACCCACAGGCAGTTCTGCTGTGTCCTCTAGGGTCACTATGAATTGGAGGGTGACTCCAGGGTGGTTTTTATGAGACTCAGAGCTGAGCCTCCGGTGGGATTTTCAGTAACAGTAAATTGCATGGGAGAAGATGGTCCATTTTTCTCCCAACGGAGCAGCTGGTGGACTTGAACCACACACCTTTGGATTGGCAGTGCAGCTCCTTACCACTGAGCCACCAGCGCTGCGTGACACTGAGTCAAGGGTAGTAGGTTTGATATTTGTTGAAAGAGAGGGACAGAGACCCAGGGAGAGGAGGAGGGGAGAGAGATTCAGAGACAGGAAGGACAAGAGGTGGGTCCGGGAGAGCCTAAGGGGGGCGGCCCACCTACCAGCCAGGTCTTGGTGGGTGAGGACATGGCACCGTGGGGCTCCAGGAGCCAGCCGTGGTAGGACAGAAGCAGCTTCAGGGCCACGTGGAGTGTGAAGATCAGGGCTCCCCACAGACAGGAGGCGAATAGCGCGGCCGCCAGGGCCCCCCGAAGCCTGTGGTGATGACCACCCCTGGGAGAAGAGAGAGAGGCCGACTGGGCCTGGGTGCCGGAGCTTCAGAATGCCCTCGCCACCAGCCCTCCCAGCCACCACATTTGCTGAAGTTCTGTACTCCAGACTCTGGTTGGTGAAGACAGATGTTACTGTGGAACTGGAACGCAGCAGCGGCATGTCCTCCTTGGCAAACCACGAGCTCCTTGTTCAGTACGTCATCAAGCTTAATAGAATAACTGTTTGAGGCACCATTGATCCTAGCAACCAACCCTCCGTTGGATTCTGGAGGCCACAAATCTTTCTAAGAAGGGACTGCCCTTCCTTATGAATCAGGGTGAAGTTTCTCTCAGGGAGGAGTGATAGGGAATGGCAAGGGACACACTGACAAAGGAGATTAATCAGAACTGG